TTACAGTTCTCATTGTTTGTAGATTTTGTATTAGTGAATTTGCCTACTCATCAGTTTTTTTTTTTTTTTAATCCCTCAAATCAATTCTTGTGGCACTTTTCTAGTTATTCTTGGACATTTGCAGAGCTGCAAAAATTTGCATCTGTGGAAGCACACATTCCCAGCTAAGTTTGAATAAGGCAGTGTTTTGCCTTCTTGTTTCAGTTCTCATGCTGCAAACAAATCTTTCATTTTTCACATTTCTGCTGTTTGTCAATGATGTTGTGATTTAAAATGGCCCCCAAGTGTAACGCTGAAGAGCTGTTTGGTGTTCTTAAGTGTAAGAAGGCTGTTACGGTGCTCTATAGAGAAAATACCTGTTAGGTAAGCTTTCAGGATTGGTGAGTTCTGTGTTAATAAATCAACAGGAATACACATAAAACAAGATTATGTATTGATGTTTTGTCCACAAGCTCATAGGAACCTAACCCTACATTTCTGCTAGAGGCAGTCGTTCAGTATTTGCTAATTGTTTGCAATGACTTTATAGAACTAGAAGAATTGCCTGTTTTTTATTTGTACATGAAATAGATTAATTATGTTCTTTTAAGAGTATTGTTTCCAGGAAATATATATCTATTTTCCTCAATCCATTTTGAGGGAACAAATAATCAGGAGTAATTTCATCACAAAATACACATTTACACCAAAATTACTTATTTGAAATACAAAAGTTTCTTCTGTGTTTAACTTTTATTAAGTTTGAAACTCTGCCTCTTCAGTGAGTCCTATATGCAGATAATATTTTGACTAAATAATTGGCACCAATGACAGATTTTAAGAGTTTGAAATCATGTAAGAACCCAGCATGAAACTATCATATTTTATATCTCTTTTAGAGCCAGATGTTGAAGCATAGTAATGATAACATAAGGAACTGTTTCATGCAACTTCTATTGACACTATCGTAAGGCATGCTGTGTTTTAAAAAAAATTTTGTGAAACAAGGCAAGATGTTTTTTAGGTTTTGGATTTTTAAAAAAAATTTGGTCATTGATATAAAAACACCCCTGCATTTATGAGGGAAAAATTACCATGGATAAAATATCAGATAACTAAAGAATTATGGATATAAGCCTTACCACACTGTGCAAGTATCAGCATGAACAAATGAGTTTACTGGTAGGCAGAACATCAGGACAATTAAAGTGTCATTAAATATATTTTACCAAAGGGCTCATTATTTTCATTTTTTAAAGATTTTATTTATTTATTTTCAGAGAGAGGGAAAGTGAGAGAGAAAGAGAAGGAGAGAAACATCAGTTGGTTGCCTCTTGCGCATCCCCCCCTCGGGACCTGGCCTGCAGCCCAGGCACGTGCCCCTACTGGGAATGGAACTGATGACCTTTGGGTTGGCAGGCCAGCACTCAGTCCACTGAGCCACACCAGCCAGGATATTTTCACTTTATTAAAGTATCATTTTGTTAAGTTACTAGATAACATCTTAGTGATTATTCACTGTGGAATGAACATTTTATGTGTTATTTAATACAACAGCATTTTGAACTAGAAGTATTATTTCTCACATTCCATATGAAGAAACTAAAACTAACAATAGTCAAGTAAATCCCCCAAGATCCTGTAAGTAATAACCAGTGGAGTGAGGATTTTAACTCATCCGTGCAACTCCAGAGTTCACCACACTGCTCCCTCCACGTCTTGCTTCACAATGTCTGCAATGGATATCATGTCCTGTTGTGAGTTTTATCACTTTTCTGACAGTTCTACCCACATTCCACCTCCCTGTTACTCTAAGGAGGAGCAGGAGTGGGGGTGGAACACTATAAACACCCTTGCCTTTCTCCAAAGGATAAACTTGTGATATTAATCTCCCTCCAGTGGTTTATTGTATTGTGTATCAACAACTGCTTTAAAAGAAAAATGGAGTCCCAAAAGGTCAATCTCCAGTATTATTTAACAGTAGGAGAATAGAAAATACGGGTTTGTTGTTTTTTTTTTTTTGTCTGAATTATGTGTACATGAACTTAAAACTTCCACTCTCCCCATCAAGTTTTTTAATTTAAGAACCAGCTGCTGGCATTACCTCTTACCTGCCGGATGCTTTCTGAATCACATTCAGCACTCCATTTTAGTGATCCCCATTAAAATCGAGAGCCTAGGGAAATCACCCTAAATCTGTGTTCCCTAGCAACATCCCTGAGAGTAACAGCAGCTGCTTAACCATATGCCACTACAAAGATGCTGTAGGGGAAATACACAGAAATTGATATTAAATACCTTAAATCTTGACACTTCAAATACCGTAGTTACCATTGATTTTTTTTTTTTTTTACCTTTAATTGTGCTAAAGCAAAGGAGAATATGTTTAAGAATCTGAAATGACAGGCTAGATGAGCTTAGCAATCAATGTTTTAGATATTTCCTTGCTAAGATGAACACAGAAATAGCCATGATGAAAATAAAATACCTTTTTTTATAATGTGATTCTTAAAATATTGTTTGCATCAAAATTAAATTGTACATATGTTGTAATATGATATGACATAGTTAAACATTAAGTGAACTTAAAATTTCTTACACATTTTTTTGAAATTCTGTATTTGTGTGTGTGTGTAAATTGTTTTACTTTCTCTGTTGTTTTTTCTGGGATGTCATATACTTAAGATCATATTATGTAGCCCTTCAGATCAGTTCCTTTCACTTAGTAATATACATTTAAGTCTCCTGCATGTCTTTTTATGGCTTGAGCTATCAAGCCGTAAAAAGTGCTAAATACTCCATTACAAGGATGTATTGGATGTACTGTGGTTTATCCATTCACTTACTGAGGGACATCCTGGTTGCTTTTAAGTTTTGGTAATTATGGGTAAAGTTGCTATTAACATTCCTGTGCAGGTTTTTGTATGGACATAAGTTTTCATCTTATTTAGGTAAATATCAAAGGGCATGAATGCTGGATTATATGATAAAAGCATGTTTAGTTTTCTGAGAAACTGCCATACTATCTTCCAAAATGACTGTGCCATTTTGCATTCCCCCATCCTTGCCAGCATTTGTTGTTGTCAGTGTTGTAGCTTTTAATCGTTCCTGTAGACGTGTAGTAGCAGCTATCTCATTGCTGTTTTGATGTGTAATAGTATCTCATTGCTGTTTTGACTTGTGATTACATTAATGACATGTGATGTTGAGCATCTTTTCATATGCGTATTTGCTATGTGTATATCTTTTTTGGTGAGGCATGTTTTGAGATCTTCTGTTTATTTTTAAGTGGATTATTTGTTTTTTTATTGTTGAGTTTTAAGAGTTCTTTGTATATTATGGATTCCAGTCCTTTATCAGATAGTGTTTTGCAAAGATTTTCTCCCAGTCTGTGGCTTATCTTTTTATTATCTTAAGATTCTATAATAAAAATAAAAATTTAATTATTGTAGCTTAACCACTAATAGAGGAGCTGGTACCATAATTGTCCTTTGTGTTGTACGGAGGAGAGGTTATCTTTTGTGGTTTGTCTGTAAAAATACATTTTCCCACATTTAGAAATCATTAATATGTTCCTTTTCTTTGTATCTCCCATCCCCTTATAGTTTAAGCTCCTGTAAGTCTAAGCTCTTGTAAGGAGGAGGAATAAAAAATTATCCCGGACACTGTGTTTGTTTGTTTTCATCAAGAAGTAACCCGTCATAGTGACCGTTATCCAAATAATGGCCAGTAACTTAAATATGCATGTGGATCATTTCTTTATAGATACTGAAAAAAATAATAACTTTGACATTCTTTGAAATTCTACTCAAAGTTGTTCCTAATAACTTTCCAAGTCTTTGGTTATTCGTGAATTTTGTTTCTTGGTTTTGTTTTTGTTTTTGTTAATCCATATTGTAAACAGCTAATTAAAACATAGTTTAAGGTCAGGTTATGCTATTAAATTTAGTTTAATGATTTTATACAAAAATCAAAATCAGTATTTTTCCCAAACTTTTGAAATACATACACATATTAGAAGTCAACTTGGGTTTGTAAAACGAGTATTCTGTTTGGAAAAGAGATCATGAAAGTAATTATATTAGCTCAAAGCTCATTCTGATTTCACTTTTCTCAGTGAATTAAGTTGCATAGGAAAAGTTACTTATTTTAAAACCAAGATCATATAGGAAGTTCTAGGCCATTTGTTTTCTATATATTTGTATGCGATATATTTGAAAGTCCGATACTTGTAACAGATAGATGTGAGCTGCCCTGGTTGGAGGTCAGCTGGGTGGAGGTGGAGGAGACTGGAGCGCACTCTCTTGTGCCTTTTCCCAGTTATCTCTGAGGAATCCATAGGGTTATTGGAGAAAAACTAGAAAATTAGTCTAAATTATGATTTTCATTTAAAGCAACAACAAAACCAAATAGTCATTACTGAGCTATTTATCGTGGAGTTCTAGGTGTCTAATTTATAAGGTTTCTGAATTAGACTTCAGGGTCTATGTTACATTTTATTACAGTCTACAACATAAATGTAGACTGGCAAGAATTAAACTAAAAGCCTGTTTCACAGCTGTTATGCATCTGGGGGTTTGGTTAAAAGGGGCTAGCTTAGCTTAGCCTGAGTTGTGATAAAAAGCAGGGTCTAGAGGCCTTTTAACTCAAGTCCTGTGCTCTGATCAGAGCTCTATTTAATACTGGCCCATAAGTCCACATGATTATAATTTGTAAGAGTCTTTAGGACACCAGTAACTTTTAAATCTCACCATGTGAAAAATTATTATGTCACCTGTGGACTTTAAAAGTAGTTAGCAAACTGGGATAAAGGTGATAATCAAACCAAATATTTCTGAAACTTTCTTTGTCCAAGGTTTCTATGTATGATATACCAGCTATCCTTTGTAACGCATTACTCCTTAATATGCTTTAATGAGGAATGTTAATTCTGATAAATGAATGCTTCATGTCAGAGTTGTACCACTGGGAAAGGCAGGTTCCGTTTTTAATGTAACCTTTTACATTTGGCTTCCTCCCAGGCTTGCAGATGGGTCAGGGGCTGTGGAGAGTAGCCAGAAACCAGCAGCTACAGCAGGAAGGCTATAGTGAACCAGGCTACCTCAGCAGAGAGCAGAGCAGGAGGATGGCTGCCAGCAGCATTTCTAACACCAGCCATCGTAAACAAGTCCAAGGAGGCATTGATATATATCATCTCTTGAAGGCAAGGAAATCTAAAGAACAGGAAGGATTCATTAATTTGGAAATGTTGCCTCCCGAGCTAAGCTTCACCATCTTGTCCTACCTGAATGCAACTGACCTCTGCTTAGCTTCCTGTGTTTGGCAGGACCTCGCTAATGATGAACTTCTGTGGCAAGGGTAAGTTTAATCCACCGTGTTCGATTCCAATATCTTTGAACATAATCATCTTAACGGTTCTTTTTATACTAGATATACATGTATTATGAAATATTTGTTTCAATCAGGACTTGTATTTGGGTTGTTCTTTATTAAAACCCGGAAGTACAAAGAAAGAGTTATCATCACAGTGAAATTTGATATTGGGAAAAGGAGGGCAGTATAAAAGAAAATAATGAATTACAATTAGAAGAGAGGTTACCAATCAAGAGTGTCAGTTTATCATAAAGCCAAAATTGTCAGTTTCGTCTAAAAATACAAGTTGTTAAGTGAGAGCTTATCATCTAAAACTGGTGTAGTTTGTGCTTCCCTTGTAAAGAAGAGGCATACCTAAAAATCGATAAATATTCTTCAAATCTTATTGTTTTCATTGGTACAGATGTAGTATGTCTGTGTTTGTGTACTCATTTATATATTTATTTTTATCAGAGGTGCTTATTAGCATAAACTTTGGTGAATATTTCATCTACTTTTAATTTTTTTCTAACCACCATGTAATCAATGAAATAGGCAAATATTAGAAAACAAGGAGATGATCTACTTGCTAAACTGAGTGTAGATTATAGAAATTTTAGCAGTTATTATACCAGTTTAAATTTAAGGTATAAATCTAAGAATGTTTGATGGAATAGAATCTATTTTATTGAACCTAAATTAATCCTGAAATAGCATATGTACTTATGTTGTGAGAATGTACTAAACACAGGAGAATCATTGGTTTTCTAGCATTCTTTACCAAAGTTTATTTAAGTCTCATTATTTTAAAAATGGACTGCATAATAACCTAAAACATACTTTTAAAAAAGGACACAATGCAATATACAGATCCTGTATCATAGAAGTATACACTTGAGATTATCGAGGGGGAGGGGTGGTGTAGATGGAAGAGGGTATAGGGGAGATAAATGGTAATGGAAAAAATAATTTAAAAAATGAAATGTACCACTTGAAACTTGTGTGATCCTAGTAATCAATGTCACTCTAATATATTTAATAGAAAAATAAGAAAAAGTCTTTTTGAGACTTTAATTTCTAAATGTAAATCTAATTGAATTAATAAATTATCTAAATAGCAATCTTTAGTCAAAATGTATTACCAACAATGGCATTCCTCAGGCTTCCTGATGCAACAGAATTACAGTATTAATTATATGGTTCATTTTTCAACGTCTAAATAGATATAAATCATTAGTATCATCTTGTTCTCTCATTGTCTTGCCATAGTGAAAGTATGACAAAAGTGAGATGAAATTCTATTAATTAGTAATATTTAAAATAAATTATGGTTATTAATTTTTTAATGGTTTAGTATGAGGCAATGAAAATACTTTAAAACTGGTTCATTTTATTTATAATCTCCTTTCTACATTTTAGTATTTCCGGCAAACTTATGTTTTTTGAAAAAAAAGTTTATATCTAAGCTCATCTGAATGAATTCAACCAGAATATATTTTTCATTTGGGACTTAAATAAGCATTGTTCATTTCTAAAAAGAATGCTTCCTTTTGGTTTACCACATAAGTATGCCTATTTTCATGACACTTTGATTTTTTTTTTCTTAGTGATAAATTGGTTCTTTTTTCAATTAAAAGCTGGATTTGTTTTTATTTAAACTTTGGATGTCTTGAATACTTACTAAGATTCTGTTACTTAGTAATAAAAGTCAAAAACTGGAACTAGATTAAAGAGGTTCCTAAAATATTGATAATTTTCTAAACAAGTTACTAAATTTACTGTTTTATTCTTTCTTTTTTTTTAAATAAAATTTTTCAGAGCGATGATGGTTAATAAAATATATAGATTTCAAGTATACAATTTTACAACACATCATCTGTATATTTTATTGTGTGTTTACCACCCCAAATCAAGTCTCCTTCCATCTAAACTTACTGTTTTAAAGTAAATTATTTTTTGGCAATAATAATACAAGGATATAAATTAATGATTAAGAAGATACTCTCATGTTAAATTAGATATTTTACCCACTATTTTCACAATTTTTGATGTTCTAGGCTGAGAAAGTAACTTTTTTGTTGTTTTTCTGTACATTGTGTATATGTGAAAAGAAGGAACTTTGAGCCAAAAATTAATAATGAATATCACAAAATGAAACTTGTTTAATGTTTATGTCTACAAGTAGATGTTTGTTGTTGTTGATTTTTTAAATTGAATTTATTGGGGTGACATTGGTTAATAAAATTATATAGAATTCAAGTGTACAATCCATAATACATTATCTGTATATTGTATACAAAAATCAGATCATTTTGAGACAGAGTCATTAAAAAGTGTTTTAAAATGTAATTTCAGTATTTTCCATGTCTCTGGAGTAATTTGCTTATATTTTATCATTTGCAATGTATAGCCAGAATTTCTGGCGTTGAAATAAGATAAAACTTTACCTTTCAAATAATAATCAGTAGCTGATGGCTCTGTACAGGGTTGGAAACAACTATCCCAATCTGCAGAAATAGTGTGTTTTGAAATATAAGCTGTTAGCACCTTGGGTTTTATTGATTTTTTAAACAGTAATGTATCACTGTAATAGTAAAGAGCCAGTGTTTTGAAGCATTATCTTGAAAACAGCTATGCTTAATGTCACAGCTTTTTGATGTGTATATATTGAAGTTAGAGCATTACAATTTCAGTGTGTGTTTGCCTGTTGTTAATCTATATAGTTTTAAAAAAGAAAACAAATTAGTCCCCCTGCCCAGCAATCTCCACCTTCTCTGCATTCATTTTTATGTCACAATTGAGCACATATTTTACTTAATGCTGTTTTGCCTCTTGGTTAAGATTGCAAGCTCTGGAATAAGACTCCTTGGGTTCAGATCCTGCCTTCATACAATTTGCTTGCAGCCTTGGGCATCTTTTTTATGGTGTCTGTGTTTCTTTACCTGTAGCACCAACATCATAGGTTGTTATAAAGATTAAGCAAGTTAATACTGCTTAATTCTTCAATTAGTGCCTGGCATGTAGTAAGTACTCGGTGTTAGCTATCATTATTAAGTTTATATATAGCTTTGGATAGTACTTAACACTATTGCTAATCTTTGTAGCTCACATTAAGTGCCATCCGAATTACTAAATTGAAGGCATTTGTCTATCATACTCTGGTAAACAAATTTTAAAAGTATAAAATTAAACATTTTAAACTTCAGAGTTGTAAAATCTAATTTGGTATCATTTCATGTTACTATTTTATCATGTTTATATACATGTAACTTGGGAAATTAAATATGGTACTGTTCTCTATTCTGGTTTTATCTTTTACAGGTTGTGTAAATCCACTTGGGGTCACTGTTCCATATACAATAAGAACCCACCTATAGGATTTTCTTTTAGAAAATTATATATGCAGTTGGATGAAGGCAGCCTCACCTTCAATGCCAATCCAGAGGAGGTAAGTGAAGAACTTGAATATTTATAACAGTTGAATTTTATTACTGTCTTGCTGCAACTTTCTAATATAATAAACTTTCAAGAAAGATAACAAGTCACCGCACATGCCTTTTCAATCATTGCAAAGCCCAGTATTTGAGTTACTGCTGTTTTTACCTTACCACGTCACCTTCTAATCTCTCTTCCTACTCACTTTGTGTGGTAACTTCCATGGCACATGTGATCCTCTGTTGGCCTTATTGAGATATTACTACATTATAAGTGGAGAGCATAGAATATGTTCATTGAATTTTATCTGCAGCATTTTCTCCTTGCTTTGTTCATATTTGTATACTACTATGTTTATCAAAGATCATCACGAAAGGCATTCTAGCTTGCAACACATCAAAATGTTGTCTTTAAATAATGCCTTTAATAATCTAATTCCATATTGACATAGAAACTGCTTTTAGAGTCTGTTACAAAAGTGGATAATTTTGTATTTAATTTTTTTAAAAGGCAATAAACACAAATAGAAAAAAGGGAGAGTGGGAGAAGCAAGAATAACTGCTTAATAATTAATTTTTTCTTAATACATAAGAATGATCAAAAGACAATTCTTTCACCTACTTTTTACCCCCTATTCTCACTTTAATATATCCTGGAAAGGCTCAAATTTTCAGATAGATGTTTAAATACCTTCTAGATTTATTCTTAGAAATCTAATAAAAATTATATAATACTCAGAACTATTTCTTGTATTATTTTTCTGTGCAAAAAACTTATTTAATTTATTTAATTTTCAAAACCCAACTTTTTGTTTCTTTTGATGCAGAGGTACTAGAGGCTATTTAAAGCATGCAGTCAAGTATTTTTTTTCTTGTTGTTTTAATCACAGTTGTCCCCATTTTCCCCTCATTACTCTCCCCTACCCTATACACCCCCACCTCATGCAAATATTTTTTAAATATCTTAACTTTTGCTATGTTATAACTAGAGAAATGTTTCTCTGATATAAAATATTTAAACAGAAATACTGATTTTATGAATATGCATGTAATACAAATGATACCATATTTTTAAAGTTAATTTGATTTCTGCTTGTTATGTATGATTTCTTTATCCGAGTTAATTTTTTGTATATGAGTGAAAAGTAAAATATTATACCACTACAAAAGATACATATACATTATCAATTAAGTCTTAGCCCCACAAATATAACAAAGTATATATGTATATAAAATATTAAGCCTGGTTTGGATATTTTAATTGAGATATTTGTTCTCTCCTTTCACCATTATTTAAAGACTTTTTACTTTCAATGAAAGCAAACTGATACTTTGTATCAAAGTAGGATGATTTAAAATAAGTTAAAGTTTAAATTTTACATTTGAAACCAATATAAAGTTTAAATTTTACATTTGAAACCAGTATGATATTGGTTTATAGAAACTAATCATTCTTAAGAAGGCAAATGAGTAGATAAACTATCATAAATTTAGGTTTTGTGACTTGTCACTTTATTTCAAATTCTTTTTGATGCCTTTATCATGAAATACACTTACTTTTACTTTGTTTTTGATCAAATTCAAGTTCTATTTAAATATATAGCAACAGTAAGCATGTCACTTTTTTGATCTTGCACTATGACATACCTGTTCTGTACATGAGATTTCATTAACTACACTTAATGTATTTGAAGAATGCATGGTTTCAGAGACTTCATTATTCACGTTTATTAGAATTAGCCATTACTTGTTGCTAACTAAAACAGTTCATATGATGAACTTTATAATAAGATATATAATTTACATCAGTCTCACGGTAATTGAATGATGATTACTAGAGAGGAACTGAAGCAAAGTAATACAGTGTTTTACTCTAGATAATAAGAATCAGAAAGGCAGGTATTACAAGCCCCAGTCTTATTAGGCTGAGTTTATCAAGGCACTCTGGCTCCTATCATAGTTATGCAGATGTTGAGTAAAACTGTCATCTTCAATTCATCTCACTTGCAAATGTTACATTCTAAGGAAAATGTAACTTGGTAAGTCCCGAGTTGTAGATTTACAAAAGTCAGAAAAGTTGGATGTAACTGCTGGTACTGATCATGGTAAGTCATCATTCTTTGTTAAAGGAGCACCAATTTTTTTAAACAAATTATAAAACCATTTTTTTATGCAGAGATGAAAATATAGATAGGCCCTCATATACTAGAATACGATGGATATTTTTAAATGTCTAAATTGGAAGAGATAGATGTCAAAATATGTTTCCATCTTTGCAGCTACCTATGTCAGACTATAGAGTTCTTACTATACCTCCTCTAGAGTGTTTGAAAGGGGGGGCAGAGAAAAGAGGTAAAACTAAAGTCCTCTTTTTAATCTGACAAAAATTTTTAAATTTTTAAGTCCAATGTTTGCAAAGAGACGGGATTGAAGTTATTATTAAAATAAGGTTTTTAGATCTTCAGAATTACTTATTCATCCTACCTCCCATTGTTGTTGAGAGTTGGCTGTATTTTCTTTTTTCCTTACTCCCTGGCCTGATTTAAAGATACCCTGCGGCATTCCAGAAGTATTGAGTTGCAAGTTCTGAAAGGGGCACAGAGTGCTGCCCAGAGGCATAGAGCTGAACCATACAAAGTGACCTGTGGTTCCAGAATTCTGATTCTGTGCTTTTATAAACATTAGTAACTTAGCAGGTGTTGCCTGATAGCAAAATAGAATTGTGCCTTTACCAGAATGTTCTTAGGATATAAATAGGCAAAGAAGGATTTTGAAATACACTTACAAGTGCAGAGAAATGAGGGGAAGTATTTTAAGGAATATGTTCCATACTTTTTTTCATTGACTAATATAAATAATGTCAATTTGGCTGTTTTATCCAAGTCAAGGCTTCAAAACTGAAATCATGTAATTGAAAGAGATATCATAATAGATGTTTTTATGTAGAACTTCTTTGTATGAGTCATACTTTAGCCAAATCTTAGAACGACTCTTGCCACATTTTTTGAATGCTAGAAATTAGTAAGTACGTTTTGGAGGCTGTTTTTTTTTTCCCTCCTCACTGGAGCACTGTCATCAGATGTGTTATTTTTGGCTTAATTTAAGCCTAGGAAGTAAATTAGTTTTGATGATATGTGTAAAGTAAGTGGTGTTTAATGTAAGTACCTGAGATAAGATGTATATAATTGTTCAGTATTGTAAAAAAAAAAAGTCTACTTTCCCATAATATCTAGTTCTCTACTTAACATTTTGATAGCAAGCATCATTAAAATATTATCAAAATAAGAATACTTACAGCCACAGGGAACAAGATTCTCCAAAGGACATCGTTCATGTCACGGATATGGGTAACCAAACTCCTCAGCAACTGCTGGCAGTGGCTCATGGGGTGGGGGAGAAGATCCGCACAGTTCGTGGTACGATTTTTCTAGCACGCTGTTGTTATGTGCATGCCATTGTGATCTCAGCTGGATGTAAAGTCTTGATCTTGTGCATGAGCTTGTGTACTTTGTGGCAGGTGATCACATTCTGGTAAAGGAATGTGCTAAAAACCATCTGTTTACATTAAGCTCTATTTCCCCTGCATGTATAAGTTACGTGTGTTGATTTTATTCCACTAGTAGTATTGTAATAAAATAATTTTACTTATCATTCAGTAAGCTCTATTCCTTGTGCTCCATTTAGCACTGAACATTTTCTTGACCTTGTTATTTTTAAATTTAGAGTCTAAAAAATTGATAATGCACATGGTTTTTTAACTTTATTTTAGGTTTAATTTTGTTTGTGTCAATATATGTTTTTAAAGTTTTTAAACATAATATCTTTATTGTGGTCAGGCAAAAGAAGTCTTTATTTTTAACTATATAAGCACATTTTTTTCTGTGTTCATACAAAAACACCCACATGCATATGGTTTTATGAGTTCTGTTAGATCTAGTAGAATCTGTTACAAGAAATATTTTAAATTTGACCATGCATGTGTTTTAGATGGAAATACATAAGTAAATTATTTTCAAGATAACAAATTCTTTTTGTTGTTGGACCAGCTAAAATATAAACAGGACATTGCAGTTTTTCATTAGAAAGGAGCACAGGAGTTTATACTCAATTCTTATGAATAATATCTCAGAAATTAAATCTTACTGATTTTTTGCTCTAACATACAGCAGCAAAATGTTCTTCACTGTTAGTTCATAGCATAGCAACAGTGATGAAAAATAACTTTTATTTTTTATTGCTAGAGATTGCAGACCCTGATTGGTATCAGCAGAATTTACAGATAAGCATTTCCCAAATGTATTCTTTGGCAGTAAAATGAAGGTATACTTTGAACAGTGCCTGATAGCGTAAAGAAAGAAAGGTAAACTAAAATTCCTAAATTCTTAGCTTATGTTATAAGCTAATATATATCTAGGAAAAATTCACCCTCAGTGCCCTTCACTGTGCTCTCCACTCAGCCAGTACCGCATTTTATGATCTGCTACCAGCAGTACACACTTTTCCCTTTATGCATCAGCTGAAGTGTTTGGGCTTGAAGGAGCAGAGAACCTAACTAATAACGGCTTCAATATATACATTTATTTACTTCAAATGACACCCAGAGGTAGGTATCCCAGAGTCATTTCAGTGATGTAATGATCTCCTCGTGGACCCTCACACAGTGTGTTGACTTCTGCCCTTTCTTGATAGCAAGATGGCTACCACTGCTCAAAGTATCCCATTCTCATGTGAGAGTCCCCTTGGGACAAAGAAGGCAGGCAAAGAAACTCTCCTCCAATTCCTTATGCCTGTTAGGGAGAAAAAAATCTTACAGAAGCCTTCAGTATATGTGTGCTCATTTCTTATGAACAGAACTGAATCAAATGAACACCCCTAGACCAATAGAGAACAGAATAGAAAGGATTACATGATTGACCAACCTTAACATGATTTAGTAACTGTGACTGAGAGGCTAAAAGCAATAGAATAGAGTGAAATGGCCTTTGGGCAGGCATCCAAGCATCTGCAACAGTAT